ACTTTCATACAAGGAAAATCATAAATCTAATAATCAGTGCTCTGATACCACATATAAAATATGATGTAGTTTTCCTACGTTTTTAATTCATTATGGAAAACTACTCTACAGGATCTTTAGATTATTGATTTTCAAAACATAACATACATGAATCATAATAAGAGAACTAACCTTGATCCATGAAAATCTATTATTTAATCTTCTCGTTCTCCAATCTCCTTTTCCCAATTTATTTCTTTGTCTTTCTTTCTCTTCTCACGCTTTTTTGATGGTTTACCGTGAAAAACTTCATGACCAGAGACAAAACCCTTATTTCATTTTATTAACCAACGTCCATCAAGTTGGTTACCGTAAGTTAATATTTTTATTTTATCTTTATTTTATTCTAACTTCACATAATAACTAATAGGTCCTCATATTTTATTAAATCACATTTAGGCCCATTATTATATTTCACATGAGTCACATAATGGAATGAATTAATTAAATTAATTTTAACAATGAAACAAAATATGACTCTTCTTTAAAAAAAATTAAAAATCAAATCCATCGTGACAAATAAAAAGAAAGCAGAAAAATACTAATACTACAAATTTGCATGATTTCAAATAAATTTACTAAAAAAAGTTTGAAATTATTATGTATAGATAAAAAAAAGTATTTGAAATTATTCAAAGTATCCTTAATGAGATTTACTTATAAAAAGTTGAAGCAATTCTTTTTAACCACCTCATGACTATAAAATTCTAATTAAGATAATAATTTTATTTATAAATAATTTATGATAAAGTTAGGGATGATAAAATAGGTAAGATGATTAATCCGTCATACTAGCTTTTATGAAATTGTAATATATTTAATATAAAATTAAAAAAGTAATAAAAAGTCTTATCTATATTTTTTACAGGAAATATTTTTTTTACTTAAACACAAATTTTTTTCTTCTTTTTATTGTTCATCATTATCTCTTTATTCATCCTAAATACTTATCAATTTTATATTTTTAACGTTTAAATATTACTTAAAGAATAAATAATATGAAGTTTTATCAAATAAAAATGATATAAATATTTATATTTTTTAATTTAAAAAATATAAATTTTATCAAATTTAAATTTATTTATATATATTATTAATTATTATATAAATTTTAATATTGTTCTCAATTATAATTTTTAAAATAATATATTAATTTATATATATATATATATATATTAAATTATTAATAAATAAATAATAATTTTATTGTTAAATTTATTAAAAAATTTAATTTTATAAATAATAAATTATTTTTCTTAAATTATAGCAGCGTCGTAATTATAAAGAATTAGTTATCCGGTTCCATTTTCAGGGAGCCAAAAACAGGAACGCGTTTTGCCATCTAAATTGAAAATGGTTTTAAATAAAAGAAATTAGTAATAGATCTTCTTAATTTAATAAAAAAAATCTTATCGAAAGTTTTGAAACATTATATAGTGACAACAAGGAAAAAATAGATAGTGAAAAAGTAAGATAAAATCTTGTCTTCTCTTAGTGAAGATAAAATCCTATTATTGTTTTCATTATTGTTGTAGATTGTAGAAGATTTTATAACATAATTGTTTATTATTCTAAGGAGAAAAATTATATGATAAAGAATTTAAACGAAGACACGTCTGCATGAAGAGGATTCACACCAATGGCTACTATAATAATATTTCAACACAAAACTCTATTTACTCTATCATGAATTGGATTTCATTTGAAAGGACCATCGATTGTTCTTATATAAAATAGGTTTCCTACTGAATCTACCTGTGCCTGATAAATATATTCGTTTAAAGGTTAAATTGGTTTGTTTTAATAAAATAATATTTTTATAAAATAATAAATTTAATAATAATAATTTTTATAACAAAATATATTATAAAAAATGAAAACTATGATTATAAATATAAAATATAATAAAAAAATAAAAAATATGATATTATTTTTAAAAATAAAATAAGTTATCTTTAAATTTTCTTACCAAAATTAATAAATACAGTGATATAAAAAAATCGTAAAATATTTTTGATAAAATGTAAATATTATTAGTAAAACAAACGGTTTAAAAACACCTTTTTATTAATTTTATTATAAAATTTAAAAAAATAATTAAAATTTTTAATTTTTAAAACTACAAATAAAAAATGAAACAAACTTAATTATTTAATTTCACTTATTACTCAAAGATTTTATAATCCATTTAAATCAGATTCTATATATCCATCCACGCACACATAAAATAACTCAAAAATATTTTTTAATAAAAAAAGTTTTCAAACTTCACGTTTCAAGTAAAAAATGACGAGAGAAAACCTATGTATTCAAGTTTTATAAATTTAAATTCTTACAATTCACATGTTACACTAAAGTATTTAAATTATTATTGATTTGATAGGATACAAGTAAAGAATTGAAGTGATGCAATTTAGAAGATAATATGTTAAAGTGTTTAAGGCAACTGATAAAGTCCAACCATATAAAGGAAATAGTATCTTTTTACTTTTTTTTTTTAAAATAAATTGAAGGTATCTTTAACATTAAATAAAAAGTTAATTACTGCATCATGGTAAAATATTTTATCAGATTTATAGTACATGCTACCATTTTATTTTGAAATATATTAATATTTATTAAAAAATTTAAGTCTCACCGTTGACTATAAAATGAAGAAGTTAAACATATAAACAAATTTTTGAATTAAAAATAATGTAAATTCCTATATGTAAATTGAGTTTATATCTGGTTAATATTATTTCTTTATAATAAATCTCTCAAAATATCAAATAATATTTAATTTAGTAAACATTTTTAATCCATACGTACTCTAACTTTTGTTCGGTTTCACAATTTTACTGTTTATAAAAGATTGGGGTATAAATTTAAAGAAAAAATTTATGTTTATATTAAGTAATTTGTGTTGATTTAAAAAAAAAATTGATAAGAAATGCATATGAAAATTATGTGCACCATGTCATTATCCAGGTTACCCTCAAATATATTATCTTATTTTATATTTTTTTATCCATGATCTATAATATTATATTTTTATTTTTTGACTTAATAATTATATGACTATATTATATATATAAGTTTATATTTAATTTTTTTATTAATGCATACTCCTATTTTTTATTATGTGTTATTTTTAAGTATTTAATTTTTATTTTGAATATAAACTTATGTTAATTATTTTATATATGTATATAACCATGTAATTATGTTTTAAATATGATTTTATAAATAAAATACTTCAATCATAAAATTTTGAAGAGATCTAATCGATTAAATGAATTTTTATAATCAATTATATAATATAATTAATTGATTATATTCGAAAATAATTATTATATTTATTATATATAAATTAATATAGATAATATATATATATATATATATATATATATATATATCTAATTATAGTTATATGAGATTTTATAATTTTTTATTATGATAAAATCAAAATTATATTTGAATATAAATTTAATTTTTTAACATTTAACTGATTTTATTTGTTTATTATGGATTATTTTATCATATTTTATTTGTTAATTAGTACTTGAAATAAAAATTCGTACATAATTTACAATTAATAACTAAAAATTATCTTTAAATAAATTTTAATTAATTTAACATTTTAAAATAATTACAAATTATAATTCATATATGATATATAATTAATAATTTTTATACTTTATATATAAAATAATTTTAATATATTTTACAATTTTACGTATGATATAAATTAATTAATTAAAATTATATTATATTATATTATAATTTATTTTTATTTTATTTTTTATTAATATAAAATATTTTAATCATTATATACTTTAAATTATTATTTTATTTTTTCGTTCAATCATATCAATATTGTTTTTTTACAATTTTTTAATCATTTTACTTTACTTTCTATCTTCAATCCAAAACAATATCGCTATTAATTTTTTTTCTTTTCTATTTTCTCAAATTCATCCCTCAATCAAAATACAAGCTTAATTTAAATGCATTTTAAAATGTAAGTTTCTTCTAATAATTTTTTTTATTCATAAAATTTGAACTCAAACTTTATAAAGGATAAATATAAGTTTTTACTTGTTTAAATGAACAGATGTTGATATATAGTTTGTTGATTAAAGTAGGGTGGTCCAGGCTTTCTAAGTTTTGGTAGCGTGTGATATATATTTTACTTATTATATATTACTGAGATCAAAACTCTAATCGTGGTTATATATAACCACAATCTAGAAGTACAGAACAGACTATAGATAAGGACCAAAAGAATCGAGTCACCGAGAAATGTGAAAATGTATGGAAAATTGACTAGATTGGAGATATGTTCCATCGCCTCCACACTTTGTGCACCATATCTTGTATAATATGGTAAGGTTCATTAGGTTAGGTTTACAAATTAACTTAACATATTTCGATTAAGAAATTTTGGAGATTTGTTTATATAATATTAGAGTACAGAGTATAAAAAGAATAAAAAAATTTAAATTTACAAAGGTTTCTTTAATTCAATATATTAGAATGATTAGTTTGTTTAAAATTGGTTAGGAACTTTTATTGTTAAATGCAAAAAAATTGATTAATCTTTACTTTTAGTTCATATTAATTGAAGGAATTTTAAAGTCCATTAATGGTCAAAGTTTGGGTAAAAAAACATTGCAAAAAATAACTTTGAATCGATGTCATGCAAAATATATACTAATGAGTGGTTAACTTTTACTGCTAGAATCAAACACAAATAATGGGTGGAAGAGTGAAGATGTGTTGAATTGAAAACAATCCATAACAATAATGGAGTTGGGTTTTGGTGAATGTTGTGATATAGTAGTAGTAGTATATACAAACAAATACATGAACAGATAGAAGAGGGTGAAAAATAGAGGATGAAATTGATGGTATGGTATTACACGTGCCCAAGGATGAAGAGGTGAAGATTGAGAGAGTGTTGTATTTGAATAAATGTGTTAGAAAATATCGAGAATCTCGAGGATGGAGCGATTGCAGAGAGGACAAGAGCCTCGATTAAGCCACACTTCCCTCGAACACACCCTGCAAAAAGTGTGACCACATGGGATGAACGCCGCGCCTTTCTTTCTTCCCATGCACACGCAGCACACCGAATCATTCCCCACAACGCCACCCTTCTCCTCCTCCTTTTCCTTCTCCACCGCCGCGGACTCCCCTCCTTCGCTCTCCTCCAGCAGTCTCATCAGCGACACCCTCCACGGCGTCCCCGGCGCCCTCCCCGCCTCCTCCTGCGGCCCCCGTATTTGCCGCTCAGCCGCGAGTGCCGCAGCCAGATTCATACCCGAACCAGCCGCAGAGGGTCCCACGCAGTTCAGACCCGGATCCGTTTCCTGGTGGTTCGGTTGCTGCTGCTGTTGTTGCTCTTCGTTGGCGAAACTTAACTCGTGAGAACGGAAGCCCCATGCGGCCCCACAACAGCCCATTCCGATGAACCCGAAGCGTTCCTTGAAGGTCCTCCTCCTGCGGGTCCCAGCATCTACACCGTCCATCTGGTCCCTGAGCAAGCCGAGAATGGTCCTGGGCTCCCTCTGTAGCGATTCCTGCAAGACCACACTGAGTTGACTCATAGCTATCAGTGTTAGAAAGAAGAGGAATAATAGTAAGAATACATTGAAGAAGAGAGGTTAGGGCCACAGAGATCTCGTGAAATGGAAGGGCATTTAAAACTGGTGAGAGCCAAGGCTTGGAAATTGGAATAGTTGCCAAATGAAATGCAGGGTTTAATTATTAGTGTGGATCGCTCACTGCACGCATCACAAAATCCCTTATTTTCAAAATAAAATGTGTGAAACTAAATCAAAGGAAGTAAGCAAAGACAAAATAGAAGCAGCAAGAGAAGGAACGTGGTTCCCTTTACAGACTGTGATGTGAGGCTTTTTATACCCTACGACTTTGAGTAACACTGTCTCCCAATAATTTATTTTTTATAAAATGTGTTTAGTTTATCCACCCACCGTTTGAATGAAAATATCAATAACTTCAAGAATAAGAACATTGAAGAATTAAAATTGCTTCATAAAGTTTTGTTAAACTAACATCACACGCAATACAAACTAATGAAATCACCATCATAAGAAAATTTGTGTTTTTAATAATGAATTCATTGAATGAATATTGCATTCCCCAAACACAGATGGAAACATTGTAATATTCTTAAGCATCAGTCCATACATTAGAGACGCAAAATATAATTGACATTTTTTATTCCTATCCAATCTTAGGGATCCAAAACTACACCAAATGTCACCTAAACCAACATTAGGTTTGAAGATTCTATAAAGCCTGCTCAACTTCATTAATTAGTTGCACCAATGTTACTACTTAAGCTATAAAATACTATACCTTACATTTAAAATAAAATTTCACTCATCTCTCTCAATTAAGTATAGTTTACCTCAATAAACTCTACACTAGACTTCATAAGCTACATGATATTTAAAGTAATGTTCTTTTCTTATATTCGTGTATAGAAAATGAAACCTGTCACCAAGTGATTTAAACAATGTTGAATGAGAACAATTAAACAAGTCTTTAATTGAGATTGAATTTTATGATTATTTCTTTAACATTTTTTTTATAAACACAGGTTGGGTTAATTATTAATAAAACGAGAAAAAAATATTTTTGTACTTTTAATTATAAAATTATCATTTTATTTTAAAAGTTTGTACACAATAATAAGTGCAAAACTTAATCTGTTGAACTACTTAACCATAAAAGAACCAATTATACATAACGCTAGCTTGTTAGTGCAGAAAGTTTCACGCATCACCATATTCAAAGATAGGATGAAACACGAATAACAAAATTAGGTGACAAACAAAAATAGCATCAAAGTGAAGAAGAGGAAGAAGAAGTGTGGTTTGGTTTGGTGTGTGTGGGACTGGTACCTCCCGGTCACAGCAATTATTTTGTGGAGATTCTGCTCAGAATTCAGAGACCTAAATTAAAGTAGCCATGTTATGGTCATCATCATCGTAATCATCCCTCCGTGATTAAAGCAATATTTAATTTTTTTAAACTTTACTATAAATTATTGGAGAGGATTAAGGTTTTTTGAAATTTGTTTAAATAATAGAATGATTGTTAATTTGAATGGTGATAAGATTGTACATTCCTGATGCAATTTTAATCAATGATTGGCGTTGGTTAGTAAGTGGAGTCCAACCAATCAATACGTGGACACCCTTTGAACAAAATTTCTCGTTGTCGTTGTCACTAACTTCGAAACCGAACACAAACGCAATTGTATTTTTTCTTCTTAGTTTTTTTCTAATACATGGATGGGCAGATTACAAAAAATTAAGCATCAGGCCCAAAGGAAGAAAAACCCATTAAAAAATGCCCAAAACAAACCTAGTTTGGCCCAAAATCTAAATTAATAATTAAATATACTAAAACAACATTTATTTTTAAATTAATTTTTATTAAAATATAAATATAAATAACTAAATATGATTATTTTATTATATCTATGTTAAAAACATTATAGTATAATTTTAAAAAAATTATAATATTAATACTGAATAAAATAATTTTTACACATATTTCTGTAATTTTATATTTAAATTTAACAAAAAGAACCGATATATCAATTTAATTGAATTATTATTTAACTAAAACTAGTTAATCATATTTTTATAATTAACTTAATAAAATAATATTCTATTAAATATACTATTTTAATTATTTAAAAAATAATAATTTTAAACATTGTTTTTTGTTTTACTGCAAAAAATAATTTGTAAGAAATTCTATAAAAGTTATTTTTTACAATTTTTTTATCATTTATTTAAATATTATTAAACATTTGTTATAAATTTATATTCATAAAAAAATTTCTTAATAAGTAAATTTAAATATCGACTAATTTTCTTATAAAAAATTTATTTAAAAAATCATATAATTACAATAAAGTCTTGTACAAATTTATTATGAATAGTTTTTTGTAAAATAATTTTAACTATTTCTTATATATATTTTTCAGGAAAATTAATAACTAATTTTTATGAATAATTTTCTGTTAAAAAACTTGTAAGTATTTTTTGTCAATAATTAAAAAAATAGTAAAAAATAAATGAATTTCTAGTAATATAATGTATTTATATTTTTTTTTTTGAGAAAAATGTATAAATTTTTATTAATATAATTACAACTCGTATATGAATCTCATTAATTTTTTAGTTGAAATTTATGTAAAAAATAAGTTGAAGGACAATAGTGTCTTTTGCCCAGAGAAGAAAAAGTCACCCTCTTTTCCTTTCACAGCATCGCGCGTCAACGTTAGGACAATCAATTCTCAAATCTCACTTGTCTTGTCTATAGAAATCCCACCGCTTCACTTCCCTGCTCTGTCCTCTTCCCTTCTCTTGTCTCAACAATGGCGTCTCTCTCGCACCTCAACAAACTCCTATGCGCTCCACCGCTCAACTCTTCACCCTCTGTTTCGCCATCGCGCGCCTTGGGGATTTCGACCAAGCCCGTCGGAAGGCCGAGGATGCTTGCCGAATTCGCGAGTACGGCGTGGCGTACTCGAGCGGTGACGAGCGACGACGAATGGGGCCCAGAGAAGGAGGATACTTACGGAGGGGGCGTGGGGGTGGAGGAGAAAGCGGTGGAGCCGGAGACGGAGAAGCTGAAGAAGGCTTTGGTGGATTCGTTCGACGGCACGGATCGTGGACTGAAGGCAAAGAGCGAAACGAGAGCGGAGATCGTGGAACTGATCAGTCAGCTTGAGGCCAAGAACCCTACCCCTGCTCCCACCGATGCCTTGACTCTCCTCAACGGAAAATGGATTCTCGCGTAAGCTACCTTCTTCCACACCAATTGCGCTAAACCCTAACATTAACTTCATATCTAATACATAGACCGACGCAAAGTCTCGAGTCTTCTTAATACACCTTTTTATTATTTTTTTTTCAAAATTAGCTTGGGATTGAATGCAACAGTACGAGATTTCCGTTGTCCAGTTCGGTTTTTTAGTTTACTTTTCTCTCTCCATTCTGTGCGTCACGCCTTTTGTTCAATTGGATATTCTGTTGTCACAATATATTTGAAGGCTTTTATTCTTCTCTAGCTTTGGGTGAAAACACATCATTCAGTTATTCTTCAATTAAATGCTCTTACAAATTGAATTGGTGTAGATTACGTTTGTTTCGTGTTATGTCTTATTGTTTGTTTTGGTCCTTGCTATCAATCTGCAACTAGCAATCTGTTTTATGTTCCTATAAACATAATAGTTATGTCTATGCACCTGCATGTTATGACAATTTTTGTTTTTGGTTTATGTTACTCTACTGAATTTTGCTTTTGGTCCATGTTTTGCGTTAGAGTTTTTTATTTTAGTGTTTATTGTCATGGTGGGTGCTAAAACAAGTGATAACAAATATTGTAGGAGTAAAAAAAATTTAAAATAATTTTATGGGAACTGAAAACAATAACCTTTTATATTTACAGGGACAAAATATTTTTGAATTTTTTTAGTTTTCTTCTATGGATTGTGTTCTTTCCCCAATATGTGTAGATGGAAGGTAGAGAGATTGTGAACTCTGAACAGAAAGTTACGAACTGATGGGTGGAGTTGTGATTTCCGCAGGTATACATCCTTTGCAGGTTTATTCCCATTGTTGTCAAGTGGAAAACTTCCACTGGTCAAGGTAGAGGAAATATCTCAGACTATTGATTCGGAAAATTTCACTGTCCAAAACTCTGTTCAGTTCGCTGGTCCTTTGACCACCACCTCAATAAGTACAAATGCCAAATTCGATGTACGAAGTCCAAAACGGGTGCAGGTTTGTGTAGTAAATTGAATTTTGACAGTCATCATACTATTTAGATCATGTTGATTTTGACTGTATTTCTTGCATTGGACTAGTTTAACATGTTGGTTTAGATTCACAAGTGACATTTTTCTCATGTTTCATACTCTTTAGATAATGTTTGAGGAAGGCATCATTGGCACACCACAGCTTACAGACTCGTTAGAAATACCAGAAAATGTTGAGTTTCTGGGGCAGAAGATTGACCTTACACCTTTCAAAGGCATCCTTACCTCTGTTCAAGACACAGCCTCATCGGTCGTGAAAACAATTTCAAGCCAGCCTCCCTTGAAGATCCCAATTTCCAATAGCAATGCTGAGTCCTGGTTACTCACTACATACCTCGACGAAGAACTGCGTATCTCAAGGGGTGATGGTGGCAGTGTGTTTGTTCTCATCAAAGAAGGAAGCTCTCTTTTGACAACTTAAACAAAACAAACTAACTTACTTCGGGATCAATATCCAGTTCATGTCTATAAATAAGTTAAAGGTCTGGAATATATACAATAATTCTGAACATACATGTGTAGAACAACGTTATTGCTGTGAAGCTAATGATGGTCTGTTAATGTGACATTTTATAGAAGAGAAAGACATCAACAAGGTTTAAGTATCATAAAAGCTTTCTGGCTTTGTTTTGGTTATTTTTCTCAGGACAGGAAGTGGTAAAACTAGTAGGCATGCTCTATTGGGAATTAACGGAGTGAAATTCTTGTCTTATTCTGATTGAAACTTTCTTATTCCTTTTC